ATTATTATTACAATAAAAGATGTTCAGATCTAAGCAAACTACTTATGTGAAAAGAGCCACCTTTCAACTCCGGTTGATCACGTCTCCAGGGTAAAATTGCTAGCGGAGCCGTCTGTAAATAATAATAGTGCTTACATGGTGCTTTTCATCTTCAAGGCGCCTTACAAACAACTTATTAAATAATTATTAGGCATCATTATTAGAGAAATGCCTCGTTTCTTTTCCCCAGCAATTTTGCCCAAACAAGTTGGAACCGAAGAGTGGCCTGGCAAGAAAGCAGGAGCTGGAGCTGGGGGCTGTCACTGGAGCTGGGGGCTGTTAATACCCAGCCAGATTGGCAGTGTCAGCAGAAGGGCCAAGGAATGGCTGGGCCAGGGAGACTGAACTCCCTTCTTACACTCAGAGGTTGGTTCTGACTGGCCCACCCAGTGGCAGGTGGAGAAGTGTGGGAGAAAGGGGCACTGCCCTTGCCTTTGCTGTACTTATCTATGGGTAGAGGACATTAGTCTCCAGGGCTCTCAAGGTGTTCCCGTTCCCCAGAACTAAGCAATGCACTTTCCTTGGCGGTCTGGCTGTGTTCTGGCCCCATCTCCTCCTCCAGAGCAATAGAGGAGAGGGTACATTAATTGGTCCCACCTCCAGCAGACAGTTCGGTTTTACATCCAGGCTCCAGCGTGTGTGTCGCCGCAGGGAGCTGAGGGCACCGACTCAGTACCACTCAGAAAATAACCAATGTCTTTTGTAGGGAGTTTGGCAATCATTTTAATGGTACTGGCAGCGTAGCATAAGACATGGGGAAAGGTCCTGCAGGCAGGAGTAGCTGCAGTGGGCAGTGCATGGGCAGGGAGAAATAGAGGGATGTAGAATTTGAGGAGACAGAACTCATGTGGAATTTGGCTAGGACAGCGGGGTTCGCACTAGAGGGCTATTGAGGCAGGGTCTCTCGATAGTGGTGTACAGTGTCTAGTTCATTTCAGGTGCTGCCATAGTACAAATAATAAGAATGCCAGGGGATCATTAAAGATCATGAACAATTAAGGCCTGAGTTTTATGGCCTGTCTTAAGAATGACTCCTCCATCAGCCCAGCACCCCCTTCACATCATGGTGGGGTATGGGTTGAGTCCAGACCAGTGGAGAGCACCATCTACACAGACATTAACAGCCCTTTCTGAAGCTTTTCTGAGGTCTCTCATGCAAATCCTGACCAGGGCCAGCCCTGTTCAGTTGATGATGAGATCACAATCTGAGGGGGGATAAGGCTGCAAACAAGCCTCATAACTCTTCTAAGGCGACCTGAGGCAATGCAGCAAGCAGTGATAAGGTAAGTTGTGGAATCATCATTAGTGGAGACAGTCAAGGATTCAGACATAGGGCTAGACGGCCATGTATCAGTAGTGCCTTGCTCCGTGTCACTGTGTGCAGCAGAGAACACAGCAGTAGTTCCCTATAATGGGACCAGGGGCTTCTGGAGTCTGAAGTCTCCTCTGCACAGAAGAGGTACAACCCAAGCTTCCCTCAGGCTCCCTTTCCAGTTCAGTGCAGACCACCTGTAGATGAGAGAGGGCAGCTCAGTCTCCATGCTCCCTGCAATCCCGGCCCTCCCTCCTGGGACTATCAGCAAGGGAGTCAGGACCAGCTTTGGAGGTGGTCTCCTCTTTGCTTTTTAACAGGGACGCTTCTCCACCAGGAACTTGGCTGAGACCTTTACACCAGCCATGGAACAGCTGGTGTGGGATCCTAAGAACTCTCGATGAGTACTCATCATTGGATTTAAACAGGTGAGATGGAGCTAAAGCCTTCCTCATCCCATTAACAGTCCCTGACGTCATCCAGTCCCGGGATCCTGCATTTCTATTGGATCTAGCTAGTCAGCACCTGCAGTCACGCAACAGCTACATCACCTGTCCCAATTCCCTTCATCAAGAGACAGAAAACTCTCCAGCCAGTTATATAGCTTACGTATTGTGATGCTCTCACACTGAAGTCAATGGGAGTTGTGCCACTCACCTCCGAGCCCCAAAAGAGGGTCCTCCAGCTCCCCCCTTGTTACCAGGTATGCTATGTCCCCTGGAACGCCCATTGGCTGCAGCCCTTCCTTGCAAAAGTAGAGTGTATTCCGTGGGAGAGGGTGCAGTGATGGGCACCATGTCAGTCATATCTGGGCTACATCCTTGCAGCACAAACATGACAACTGAGAGGTAACATACAAGCCCCGTTAAGGGCCCACTTGATAGTGTGAGATTCCTGCCCCGTGACTCTGGTGTTATTATTAACCCAAAGCCCCACATCTCCCAGTAATGTGGTACACACTGGGCTAACCTTAAACTGCAAAGCAGGAGCCATGGGGACATAGTTTTTCCACCTCTATTCACAACTGTCAAGCAGTGATTAATGACCAACAAGCCCGAAATTGCCTTTATTGCCAGCTCAGTATTGTTACTTGTGACAGTTAATGAGGTTAGACAGACTTTTACACAGCACTTTATGGGGGCCACAGATTTGTCTCCTGCAGAGCTTAACAACACCACAAGCTTTTGTACACAAAGGGCAAAGAATGTTTGGTTTCCTCAAAGACAATGGACAAAGAGCCAGCTCACTTTTAACATGATGTTTGTCCACCTGTTCTAATCCATTATCAGTCATTCCCTTTTATGCTTTTGTAGCCAGGGCTTGTAAAGGGCCAGGAGGAAGGTAATGAAATAAAATATTGCACCTTTATTAAAAGGGGAGAGACTTTCCTGGTCTTCCTACTGCAGACAGGCTGGAGACAATGGCGTTAACAAGAATATTTCAAAGACTTTCAAACATGTCTCAATTAACTTTGCAGTAAAACCTGCAAAATATTTGTATATGGGCTCCCCTTCACCAGGCCAGGGAAGATGGGTGGAGGAGGAGAGGAAAAAAAGTTTTCAAGCACTAGAGAGAAGTGGATGTAGTAAACCATTTGTTAATATAAAAAAGTCTCTGCTGTTAAAAACCAGAGAGAGCGGCAGCACAGACAGCACCTCATGTTCCTGGCCTCGGGTCTAAAAGTAATGATTTCTTGGCTTTTTTTCCCCCCAGGATTATTACAAGTAATATTTACCTTTGTGCTAGTTCACATCTTGATACTGTTAAACACGTGGCCACAGATGGTTTCCCATTTAGAGTAACCATATAGCTTGAGCGTTATGAAGCAAAACCCCGTTGGTGAGCCAAAAAACACCCTGCGTTTAAAAATCTATTACTTCTAAATATTATATGTATTTTGTTTCAGCTCAGAGCAATTTCCTAGTTTATTCTTATTAAACCAAGAGGCGGCTGGACAGCAGTTCTTGATTTATGAAACACATACTAGATTCATTAAAACCTTTAAAGATTTAATACATTTTATCAAGGCCTTAAATCTGGGCAAGCATTTAAAAAATCTAATCCAGGGCATATTTCATCCCAGGTGCCCCTTTGCACTTATTTAAGAGCTGTAAAATGTGAATTGACAAATATTGCAGATATTTCATTCCTTATTTCTAAATGGTGCTGAATTCTTCTGACAGGTTTGTTATATATATCCTGGGAGATCTATCAAGTGTAAAGATGAAATTATTCTCCTTTATTGACATTTTATATGTCTTTTCTATATTTCTTAAATCCCTTTCAACAATTATGGATGCTGAAGATTTAATATATTTTTGCATGGTCTGTCACTTTTCTTATTATTACGCCTCAGTCTGGCCAAACGTGCATCTGAATAGGGAACAGATTTTTTAAATCACCTACAGATTTGTCAAACCAGGAATAAGAGAGGCAAAGAATTTGTGACATGATCTAACAGCCACTTCGCAGCTTGAGATTGACATTGGATTAGTGTCAGTCAGGTGGAGTTCAGGAGTTTTTGATTTCCAAAGAAACTTGCTGAAATCTTTCCCATGCAGAGGGAAAATTAAGGCAGGTAGAATAGAAATGTATCCGTTTCAGCCTCACTGTGGGATAAAGGCTTCTCCGGCACTGCCCCATCCAACTATCTAACTCCCCCCCATTGCTGCTAGCCGCTTTGCAGGGCAAAGGTCTCTTTAGTCTGCTCCTGCCCATCCCTCCCTCCCTGACATTTTGAACCCCCTGGCATAGGACCATGGTAGGGTGACCAGATGTCCCGATTTTATAGGGACTGTCCCGATTTGGGTTTTTTTTTCTTATATAGGCTCCTATCCCCCCCCCCCCCGTCCCAATTTTTCACAGTTGCTGTCTGGTCACCCCTAGACCATGGCAAACTGATGGCCACACAGCAAGTGAGCATCAGAGCCAGGAAAAGGACCCAGGAGTCTGGGCTACACGGTGGGTCAGTGTGGGAGCCAGGCCCAGGAATAGGACC